ATTGGACTTTTCACTATTCATCTTAATGAAGAGAAAAATCCCCGACTAAACTACCTCTTTTGGGGCTATTTCATTTGCTAAGTAAGTCTTTAAGTGCTACCCATTCACCTTAAAAGGCTCATTTTTACCATTTGTTATCTTTACCGTTCCATAGAAAAATAGTTTTGTCAGTTCAAATGGACTGGAACACCTAGATTTTAGTTTATCTAGAAAATAATCTAAGGCGTAAATTATACAATAACACCTTTCCTTTTTGGCAAATTTTAGTAAGTGCTATTATATTTCAGTAGTGAGAAAGCGAGGCCATTTGATAATCAACAAAGAATCTCTATCCATATAGTAAAAACTAATACTCGCTCAAACAAAGATTGAAAAAATCAACTTGGTAAATAGAACACAAAGAGCAGTCAACTCGAATTCTTTTTTCTAATTCTAAAATCAAAATATGGCAGTCAACTCTAATTCTTCCTTCTAATTTTAAAATCAAAATATCACACCAGACCACTGTTAAAATAACATATAAGAGACTATAGATGTCTCATATCCTTAAATGCAACTCTTTCATAGATGGTCAACTGATAATCGTCATTCAATTGATTTGCCAATTCAAAATTTAGTTCTCCCATAGATGGTAAATTGGCTGTCGAATTGTTGATTGCATCCCGATATCTTTTAAGCATATTCTCCTCGACTACATGAACTTGAAAATATCTAAGAAATGCAAGTTAAGAGGACCGAGTATCTATGTAATATAGAGAAATAATCACTGGTGTTGATTTTATCTTTTTCTATTCTTCCTTCCACTCTTTATTTTCTTGTTTAACTCCTCCTTTAACTGCATATTTTTCTACCTCCGCTTCTCTTTTGGATAATCAAAGATTATGTCACAAATGGATTTAGGCTTAATCTTTTAGTCCAATCTCTCTAATAGGTTGAGTATGTATCCAACACAGGTATCCGACCCGATTGAGGTCTAACCATTAACAACATGTAGATACAAGTTGGAAAAGCCAGCCTCTCTACATGACTGAATAGGAACAGATGATAGTACGTTCCTTCATTCGCATAGTTCTTCTACAAGTAAAAATTATCGCTCTCGACAGCTAACAATGACTTAGTCGGTAACAAAGAATCAAACATTCGTTGGCGGCATATGCTGTCATTAGTCCTCACTGTCTCATTCCATTTTGTTCTATCCATGATTCTGTGATAGTATTTTACAAGCAAATGCCTAACCTCCTCCCTCTTCTTGATTAAAAAAATGTGTTTAGCAATCATATCATCGTGTTCAATCTTTTTTTTATCCAGTTATTGAAAACAAGTTAAGACTCCGCGTATTTTCTCGGTAATCTAGGGCAATAGCACATCATAGGCATCATATATTCATTCTCATTTAGCTGCAATGTACGAGTCTAGGCTATGATTGATTCTCTCCATGATGATTCTATATTTTTCCTTCCCATTCTCACATTCCATGGCTGTACCCATCACACGCAGAAAACACCTTCCTCTTTTCGTTGCAACTTCGACTGTCGCATCAAAATCAGTCTTAACTGAAACATCGATGATGGAACAGGGAATCTCTCGATCGATGGAATCGCCCCTAAAGAAGCCATGGTGAAGCTACTCTTCAACGTTAAACTGTTGAATCTTATATTAGATGCCGGTTGCAGGTCTAAACATTAGCAAAGTAGGAGAGTAAAAGAGAAGGCTCGAAAACAATGAAAATGAGGGAATTGGACAAAAGGTATAGTAGGAGAATATTAGGGTTTGGAAGTCTTAAGTTTGGAGGAGGAGATGATTATGCTTTGGAAAGGAGACATGAGCCGTCATAGAGAAACGGGAAATGTGAAGGGAAAAAGACGGCATGGAACAAGAGAAAAAGTTTAGGGTTTTAGGACTCTTGATGCTTACATAAGTATATTAAATAACCATCGTAGTATCTACAATAATACCTTTTGTCCAGTTTCAAATTCTTTAGGAAGGATGCCTGTCATGCTAAATTTCACCTTTTCCTTATATATTTTGACATTCTTATACGAAGTCAACTGAAGTTCTTCCAATTCACTTGATTCAAGCAAGCTCTTCTCACTTGTAAGACAAAAATCTATATTAATAGCTTTTATAGTCTAATCTGCTTTATGTCCAATTTCAACAGGTAGATCGCATGCCTTTCTATAAATTAGTCGATAGGACAACATTTCCAATGAAGTCTTAAATACCATCCTATAGTCTTATAATGTATCATCTAACTTTTCATCCAATCCTGCCTCGACTTGTTCACCATTTTTTCTAGGATAAGTTTGAGTTCCCGGTTAGCCAACTCCATTTGACCATTCACTTGCAGGTGATAAGGAAGTGAAATCTTATACCTGCAACCATATTTAAACAAAGTGTCAAATGATTTATTACAAAAATGCTTACCTTTGTCACTTTTAATTGTCGTTGAGATTCTAAACTTACAAAATATATTCCTTTTAAGAAATTCAATTACATCTTTTGCATCATTAATAGGCAATACAATAGCTTCTACCTTTTTCGACATATTATCAATTGGTATAAGAATGTACTTATTATTATAGGAATTAGGAAAGGTCCCATAAAATCTATACTCCACATATAAAATAATTCAACTTTCATAAAAATAGTTAAAGGCCTTTTATTTTTCTTAGAAATATTGTTAGTTCTTTGACACTTATGGCATTTGATAAAATTTCTAATATTTTGGTGTATAGTTGGCCAATAAAAACCTGATTACCATACTTTCGTCACTATTTTTGATGTACTAAAATGTCCTCCCATTTCAAAGCAGTGACAATACAATAAAATACTATATATCTCTTCTTGCAGTACATACCTTCTTATCATGCCAATAGGATAATGTTTGAAGAAAAATGACTCCTGGCAAAAATAATGTTTGGCATCATGAAAAAATTTCTTCCTTTGGTGGTTGTTTAAATTTCCTGGAATGACTTTACTAACTACAAAGTTAATCAAATCGGCATACCATCTTCATTTTCTTCAAAATTAGAAAAATTGGCATCACTTGATTCACTACTAACCACTAACATCATATTATGATCTGCATCAACCTTGTTGTCACTGTCAAGCATATGTTTTTATGTCACTGTCAAGGTTAGTAACCACTCTTTTAGAAGTATGATCGAAACATAAATTCTGTTGAGTGTTTTGAACATTTTTGTCAGTATTGATATTTGATAGGGTACATTTTAGTGGGGTATTTTGGGCATTATTGCACAATTAATTGACTAAATATTTTTATTAATTGGGTGGATTCTACTGATATTTTGTTTTGGTGCTAACTGCAGGAATTGGTACCAAAAAGAGCTTGAAATCGAAATTTAGAAGATTCGTCGAACGGGAGCCATTTCAAGTACTGGGGTCCGCTCGAGAAGTTGAAGAAACTTAATTGTAATAGATATTATTTTATTCTATTTTTGGAGGGAGGCTTGTTATTTTATTTTGGGAAAAAAAAGGAAAAACACAACTGCCTGGAACTTCGGTCGACAACAGAGGCGAGAGTTAGTTTTCTTCGGCTGGCTTAGGTTTTTAGGGAGGCTATGCGTTTAAAAGGGAGATTGGCCGCAGCTTTGAAGGGGGAATGAGCAGAGACAAGAGCCACCATTCTTGACTTCTGTACTTTTCTTTCCATCTTTTGTGGACTTGAAAACTCAAATTCTAAGTTTGGTTGACCGAAATTGGAAGAACAAAAGAAGCAATTGAAACCTTTCTCTCGTATGTTTGTTTTGTGAGGGACCAATATGGGCCACCATTGTTGACCATTTGGCACTTACTTTACTCTTTCATTTTGACCGAATTAATGGAGAGAGCATCAGACAATTTCTTTGCTTGGTGAGAAACAACTGCAGATCGATTCCTCTCGCTCTTTTCTAACTCTCTCGGTTGACCGATTCCCAACGCAAGAATTGGCGGCCCTTGTCAACTACGTTCGCATGGCCTGTTCACTAATGGGGAACTAAACCTCTATTTCTAGTCAAGGGAGCAACTGATGAATTGGTTCAACTAATACTGTGAGATCTAAATCATTCTTTATTATTTTTCTCATTTATTGATACTTATATGTTCCTGGCTTTTAATCGCTATAGCCTTGTGTATGATTGGTTAGTGCGCAATAATTAATTATTCATATAGGCTATTTTGCTAAATATGGGTAATTGAATCCGTAATTGTTCGTTACCTCTGTGTTAGTAGCAACTGGCGTAATTGGCTTTATGTCAGGGGAACATATGATCTATCTTAAATAAACCCTCGTAGCGTGTTTGTTAGTTAGGATTGGGCATTTCTAATTATTAATGCAATCTAGAAATTAAATCCTACGGTCGTACCTAGGGTTGTTTTTGGGTTAGAGAAATAGCTAACGGTCGTACCTTAGCTGTCGAGAAATTAAGGAAAGGTTGGTTGTTTATCGCGTGCATGACAACTATAACTAATCTGTTGATAAATGTTGGAATTATTTCTGCATCAATGATCAGTGCATGAACCATTTCTGAAGTGTACCCTTGGCTAGAGCTTCTCTTAATTATTTCTTTAAATTAATTATTCTCTGCAGTTACTTTATTCTTAGCATTTAATCGTGAAAACCCCCCATTTGTCTTGATTCGAAAAGGAATAAATTTCTCTCCAGTCCCTGAGGAGACGACCCTGCTTACCACTGTCTACTAGTTAGTGAATTCAGTTAAATAATTAATTCAGGTATATCGGATTAAGTAAACTCTTCGGGAACAGGGTGAATCAAGTAACCCATTGCACACCTAGGGTCCTTGCTCCAGTACTCGAATTAATTATTGACTGCTTTAGGTGGTAGTTAGGTTTTATTTATTATTATTGCACAGGTTCGGCACCTGTCAATTTTTGGCGCCGTTGCCGGGGACTGGCATCTGAATTATTTGTTTCTTTTTGAATTCAGCCTTTTATTTTGTTTTATTTTATTTTATTTTTCTTGATATTTTTGCTAGTTTATGCCCAGTTCTTCTCGCACAGGTGAATTGATATACGAACCTGAGGTTGAGAAGGCAGCACGTAGGCGAAGGCAAGAGACCAAGAGACGAAAAGAAGGGCACTTATCTTCTGCAAACGAGTCAGTAGAAGATGAATTTAGCATGGCCAACACCCAGACATTAAGGGAGCTGGCTACCCCGAAGCTGACTCATCAGCCCTTGTGCATCACTTTCCCAACTCTGTCTGAGAATACCTCCTTCGAGCTGAAATCGGGATTGATTCAGCTCTTACCTTCGTTTTATGGTCTTTTTGGTGAAGAACCTCACAAACACGTCAAGGAGTTCGAAGTGGTTTGCTCTAGCATGAAACCTCCTGGGGTCACTGAGGAGCAAATAAGACTTAGAGCTTTCTCCTTCTCTCTCAAGGATGCAGCGAAGGATTGGCTATACTACCTACCTGCAGGTAGTATCACCACGTGGGCACAATTGAAAAAGAAATTCCTAGAAAAGTTTTTCCCCGCATCCCGGGTTGCGAGTTTGAGGAAGGAGATATGCAGCATCAAGCAGTACTCCGGGGAGTCCTTGTACGACTATTAGGAAAGGTTCAACAAGTTGTGCACTAGATGCCCACAGCATCAAATTAGTGAACAATTGTTGATCCAGTACTTCTATGAAGGGCTCCAGTCAATTGACAGGAGTATTATTGACGTTGCGAGCGGAGGAGCCCTGGCGAATAAGACAGCGAAGGAAGCATGGGACCTGATCGAAGCCATGGCAGAGAACTCCCAACAATTTGTCTTCCGTGAGAGCAACCCTACCCGTAGAGTCAACGAGGTAGAGACTTCATCCATACAGCAGCAACTGTCAGAGTTGACGTCTGCTTTCAGGCAATTAACCATGAGAGACACGCCGCGAGCTAGAGTTTGTGGCATCTGCACTAGCATGGACCACTGCACGGACACGTGCCCCCTTTTGCAAGAGGACGGGGCAGAACAGGTAAACATGGCCGGAGGCGTGCCCGCACCCCGCAGGCAGTATGACCCGTATTCCAACACATACAACCCCGATTGGAGAGACCATCCTAATTTCAGTTATGGGAACCGACCGCAAAATTCACTCTCAAATCGTCCACCAGGGTTTCAGCAACCATGGCAACCGAAACCGCAACCTTCATCCTCCAACGCAGGAAGTTCCTTGGAAGATATTGTCAAGAGTCTGGCTACGACTACCGCCCAGATCCAGCAAGAGACTAGACAGCTCCAGCAGGAGACCAGGTCATTGACCACGAATATGGCTCAACTCCAGCAAGAAACTAGAGTTTTAACCATGAGCACCACTCAGTTCCAGCAGGACACCAGAGCAGGCATGAAAGATATGGATGCTCGAATAAGCCAATTGGCAACTGCCATCAATCCCCTGGAGTCCCACGCTCATGGAAAATTGCCATCTCAACCTGAGAAAAATCCTAGAAATGTAAGTGCCATGACGCTGAGGAGTGGTAAGGAACTGGAAGGGCCTAAAGTGGAAAATTCAAAAAGCAAAAGTGAGGAGGAGAAAGAAAAGGAAATCGAAGAGGAAGGACACATTCGCGAAGACCCTAAGGTAACATCTATTCCTACAATCCCTATTAAATCTAATCTAGCTCCTTTTCCTTGCAGGTTGGAAAAGACAAAGAGGGCAGAAAGGGAAAAAGAAGTCCTGGATGTGTTCCGCAAAGTTCAAGTAAACATCCCACTATTGGATGTGATTAAGCAGGTACCCAAATACGCAAAGTTCTTGAAAGACTTGTGCGTTAACAAAAGAAAGCTAAGGGGTGATGAAAGAGTGATGGTAGGAGAGAATGTATCAGCTGTACTTCAAAGGAAACTTCCACCCAAATGCGGGGATCCAGGTATGTTTACTATTCCCTGTAAGATTGGACATTCTAGTATCAAAAATGCCATGATAGATTTAGGGGCTTCTATTAATGTGATGCCTAAGTCAATCTATAATTCCCTAAATTTAGGACCATTAAAAGAAACGGAGATAATAATTCAATTGGCTGATCGTACATGTGCTTACCCGGATGGGATAATTGAGGATGTTTTAGTGCAAGTAGATGGATTAATTTTTCCTGCTGATTTTTATGTGCTTTACATGGATGATAGAAGTGCCCCAAATCCATCACCCATTATATTAGGAAGACCATTTTTGAGTACTGCCCAGACTAAAATTGATATTAGTAAGGGTACTCTCACGATGAAATTTGATGGAGAAATAGTCCACTTTAATATCTTTGATACAAAGAAACATCCTGTTAACTTTCAGTCTGTATATGCTATTTATGCCACTAATCCCTCTGTACAAGAATTTTCTAAGTTTGCTGGTAGGGGTAAATTCAAGGTTGCTGCGAACAAGTCCTATAGGATGAAAGCAGTTTATGAGGTGAAAATGGAGAGAAAATTTAGGAAAAAGGGTGCACTCAATGGCCACGTGGATCCCGGAGGAAGGCCACCAATTACAAGGAAAATTCAATTACATCCAGACTAAAGAGTGGTGCAATGTCTAGCCAAAGACATTAAAGAAAGGCGCTACTTGGGAGGCAATCTAAGACTTTGTTTCAGTTTTCATACATTTTTGAAGTTTTAGTTAAGTGTTAGTGTCAATTAATAGTTTGATTTTTTGTGGCAGGAAATTGGCAGTTAGACGTGCCCACGTTAAGTGGTCACGTCTGAGGAAAAGGGTTGGAAGGTGACGGTCAGAAGACTCTGTAGCAATTAAGCGTGCCCACGCTAGGTGGTCAGGCTAAAGGATCAAGAATTTTCGTCGGATGGTCAAAAGACTAGGGGCAGTTAGGCGTGCCCACGCCTAAGACAGGAGTTCTTCGTTTACCCGAAAAAAATAATAATAATAATAATAATAAAAAATAAAAAGATGAAATTGCCCTAATCCAAAAAGAAAAAATATATATATTTCAAAGGACCCGCAACCCAACTCTTTTTTTCTTCTTCTTTCTTTTCTTTTTCTTTCTTCTTCTTCCTTATTTTCTTTCTTTTCTTTTTTCCCCTCTTTTGCTTCGTCCGCCGCCGCTCCTCACCGCACCGCACGCCACTCATTGCTGTTCGACGCCGCCGCCCTCCAGCTCAGATCCTCCGCCAGCGGCCACCCTGCTTCAGCGCGCCGCTGAGCGCGCCCTCTGCGCAAGTTCCTTGTGCGCCGCCCAGCCCGCGCGCAGCGCGCGACCGCTCCACCTGGCACGCCTGGGCCCCAGCGCAGTCCAGCGCAACCCAGCGAGCCCAGCAGCTCGCGACAGCCACGCCAGCGTACTACCCAGCGCACGTCACCCGTGCGCCTCCCCTTCGTAAGCTCCAGCCTCTGCCCATCGCGCGACCAGAGCACCAGCACCAGCAGCCAGGCGCGCAGCTCAGGCGCGGCGCAGGGGCGCGCTCGACCAACGCAGCAGCAGCAGCAGCCCACGCGCGTGGCTCTCACGCGCGTCGCACCTTTCTCCTCCGTGCCGCCTCTTCTCTCTTCACTGTCATCCACTGCCTACTCCAAACCTCCGGTGAATTCTTTCTTTATTTTTCTGTCACTAAGTAGCTGAGGCCAGATTACTAGTTTTCATTAGCTGATGCCAGATTTTAATTTCTTAGCTGAGGCCAGATTGTTGACTTGCTAGCTGAGGATAGAAATTTTGTGCTTGTTTAGGTGCTGTGGTATATATCTGTGGTTGATTGCTGACTAATAGTTAAATTTTGTCTTCAACCAGTGATATTTGGGGGATGTTCTTATTTGGGTTGCTAATTTAATTGATTTTTTGGGGAATGTTGCTGCGGTTTTCTAATTAAGTGATTTTTGGGTTGATCTGGTAGTGTTTGGGGAAAATTTTGCTGTTCACAGGATTAATTAGCTTTTAGGGTAAGTTTATTGTCTGTTTTTGCACTTGTCTGTGATTGGAAGCTGTGACTGGGAATCATTTACTTTGCTAGCTGTTTGTTGACCTCTTTGGAATATCATTCCCTTGCCTTTGCCCTGCCCTCTGATTTCAAATGACTAAACCAAAAAATAAGGGCAAGAACAAGCATTCCACCTCCACCCCACAGGCTACGGTCCCCTTGAGTGGACCTGCCCCCTCGACTGGGCCGGGAGGGCCCCGGACCGTACTCTTCGGTGCCTCCACCGTCTTCCTCCGCCGATAGCCAGGGTACAGCCCTTCGATTCCAGATGCAGCACATGGACACTCGTATGGAGCGGATGGAGCGTCAGATGGGCGGGATGGCCCAGAATTTAGCGCAGTATCTCCATCATGTGGGTTTCCGCCCGCCTTTTCCTCCACAGCTGTAGTCCATTTCTGTCCTCCTCCATTTTTAAGGGAAGTGTCGTTGCCCCAATACCTCTGTTTTGATCTTTCTTTGCTTACATTGAGGGCAATGTAAGGTTTAGGTGTGGGGGAGGGTTAACTATGCTTTAGTTGTGTTTTTAGTTGTCTGATTAAATTTTCCTTGCCTTAGTAGTTTTCTTCTTTAAACGGTGATGAATGAAATCGGGATATGAGTATAAGTAGTAAGTTCATACCATGGGGTGTTTCATTTTTCCTCGATGATGTGTTGATTGATGAATATGCCAAACTTGACAAAAATTTGATCACTTGTGCAATTTTTGAGCATAATTTTTCGTTTGTTTGAGTGGTTAGTGCACATGGTTTGTCATTCTAGAACTTGCTTGGTTATGCATGTCAAGACCACATTTAAATGAGTTTAATGCATTAAAATGATAGGGCACCTAGGAATGAGCCATTTTTGGACTTTCTTAAAACCAACCCTCGGATTATTTACAACCATTTGGGAGCCAAGTTGAGCCTTAACTCCTATTCTTCACTTGGGACCCTAGTTTTTAGCCGTAAAATCTCTTTTTAGACTTTCTTTTGAACCTCGTGTGAAGAAGTGCTTTGATTTCATTATACAGAATTTTGGAGTATTAATTGAGAGGCATTACACCTATCCCGTACAAAAAAAAAACACAAAAAAAAGAGAAAAGTGAAAAGAAGACAAAGTGCAGGAAATCAGCAAGTAAAGTTGATTTTTATGGTGCTGGTTGGGAGTTATTGAAAATCTTTCTCGGAAAAAGAAGAGCAAAAGAAAAAAGAGGAGAAAGAAAAGTCGAAGGTTGTGGCAAATGCCAATTTTTACTTCGCTTGAGGGATGGTTGAGGTGCTTTGAAGTTCCCAATGTGCAGGAATCTGTGTAATGAGTTTCTGAGCACTTTCTTTATACTTTTACACCCTTTTGAATCCTTTTTATCCGACCTCCTCACCCTAGCCCCATTACAACCTTGCAAAGTCCCTTGATTGTTGCATTTAAATTCACAAGTAAGTGGTGGCGATATGATATAAGAGCAAGCTTATGGTAGTGCCATCCTATTGTGTTGAATGAGGGCCATTTTATATACATATCCTATACACCTTGGAGTGAATGAGTGCACTTTGAACTGTGAGCATTATTGATTTGGTATATTTTGATTTCAATGAGGTTATTGGGGAATTTGGAGTGCCATTCTTGGTATGGACTGTTGTAAACTGCTCAGTATCTTGTTTGCACTTCTGAGTTAATTATGCTTGAGGGCAAGCATAGTTCAGGTGTGGGGGAGATTGATAGGGTGCATTTTAGTGGGGTATTTTGGGCATTATTGCACAATTAATTGACTAAATATTTTCATTAATTGGGTGGATTCTACTGATATTTTGTTTTGGTGCTAACTGCAGGAATTGGTACCAAAAAGAGCTTGAAATCGAAATTTAGAAGATTCGTCGAACGGGAGCCATTTCAAGTACTGGGGTCCGCTCGAGAAGTTGAAGAAACTTAATTGTAATAGATATTATTTTATTCTATTTTTGGAGGGAGGCTTGTTATTTTATTTTGGGAAAAAAAAGGAAAAACGCAACTGCCTGGAACTTCGGTCGACAACAGAGGCGAGAGTTAGTTTTCTTCGGCTGGCTTAGGTTTTTAGGGAGGCTATGCGTTTAAAAGGGAGATTGGCCGCAGCTTTGAAGGGGGAATGAGCAGAGACAAAGAGCCACCATTCTTGACTTCTGTACTTTTCTTTCCATCTTTTGTGGACTTGAAAACTCAAATTCTAAGTTTGGTTGACCGAAATTGGAAGAACAAAAGAAGCAATTGAAACCTTTCTCTCGTATGTTTGTTTTGTGAGGGACCAATATGCGCCACCATTGTTGACCATTTTGCACTTACTTTACTCTTTCATTTTGACCGAATTAATGGAGAGAGCATCAGACAATTTCTTTGCTTGGTGAGAAACAACTGCAGATCGATTCCTCTCGCTCTTTTCTAACTCTCTCGGTTGACCGATTCCCAACGCAAGAATTGGCGGCCCTTGTCAACTACGTTCGCATGGCCTGTTCACTAATGGGGAACTAAACCTCTATTTCTAGTCAAGGGAGCAACTGATGAATTGGTTCAACTAATACTGTGAGATCTAAATCATTCTTTATTAGTTTTCTCATTTATTGATACTTATATGTTCCTGGCTTTTAATCGCTATAGCCTTGTGTATGATTGGTTAGTGCGCAATAATTAATTATTCATATAGGCTATTTTGCTAAATAGGGGTAATTGAATCCGTAATTGTTCGTTACCTCTGTGTTAGTAGCAACTGGCGTAATTGGCTTTATGTCAGGGGAACATATGATCTATCTTAAATAAACCCTCGTAGCGTGTTTGTTAGTTAGGATTGGGCATTTCTAATTATTAATGCAATCTAGAAATTAAATCCTATGGTCGTACCTAGGGTTGTTTTTGGGTTAGAGAAATAGCTAACGGTCGTACCTTAGCTGTCGAGAAATTAAGGAAAGGTTGGTTGTTTATCGCGTGCATGACAACTATAACTAATCTGTTGATAAATGTTGGAATTATTTCTGCATCAATGATCAGTGCATGAACCATTTCTGAAGTGTACCCTTGGCTAGAGCTTCTCTTAATTATTTCTTTAAATTAATTATTCTCTGCAGTTACTTTATTCTTAGCATTTAATCGTGAAAACCCCCCATTTGTCTTGATTCGAAAAGGAATAAATTTCTCTCCAGTCCCTGAGGAGACGACCCTGCTTACCACTGTCTACTAGTTAGTGAATTCAGTTAAATAATTAATTCAGGTATATCGGATTAAGCAAACTCTTCGGGAACAGGGTGAATCAAGTAACCCATTGCACACCTAGGGTCCCTGCTCCAGTACTCGAATTGATTATTGACTGCTTTAGGTGGTAGTTAGGTTTTATTTATTATTATTGCACAGGTTCGACACCTGTCAATATTACCATATTTAGTTGAAATAATTTTCATGTCATATACATGTAAACTGATTACAATTCCAATTTGATGAATTTTGAACATGTCAACAACTGCATCATCATCATTAACATCACACATTTTATCTTCATTAGGAATTTCATGCCTTGTATGTATCAGCATATTTACATTTCCTGACATTTCTCTTGAAGATTTTTCAATCACAACATATAGCAAATTAATGTACAAG